CTTGGTGGTAGCACTTGAATGAAAACAAAATCTTGAGTAGGGCTACAGCAAAAACCGAGCGCATCAATTGGGCCAGGTCAGAAAAACGTGCACAGTTATAGTCAGGAGGTCTTGAAGTGGTTTGGTGATTTAGCTGCGGACTTCGCTACGTAAGAATCTGCTTGGCCGGCGATGTTGCACACAAGGCGCCTCTGTTGTGGTGTGGGGCATTTCGTCCCACCAGCGCGTGGCCCCGCGAGCACCCGTGAAGCGCAACGCCGGCAGTGCAAGCAAAAACAGTGCGCTTCTAGAACTGCAGTGTCAGTACGAAGCCTTCGCTAGCAGCGATCCGAACAAACGCCGAATACATGTATTCTACAATATGCTTCTCATAGTGTGCATGCTTACGGGTCGTCGACTTCCTGGATGCTCAGCAGAGCCGCGTGGTGTTTCGACTGTCATGATCCTGGGTTGGTGCATTTCTGGGAGAGCAACTGGAAGCGCAGCTTCTGATGAGTTTTTCAGGCAGCGCAAGCACGCCTGCCCGAGGACTCTCAAAATTGCCAGCGGCGAGAGGGGCAACGTATGTCAAGTGATCTCCATGTGCCAATGTGTTGCCACTTCGTTCTCTTTACAGGAGTTTGTGATCTTCGCGCCCATTGTCGACGTGCTGCCGATCCTGCCGATCTTCTTCTTCTTGCTTGCTTTCTTGTGGCAGGCCGATGATATGCAAGCCATCTTTGCTCAAAGCTCACAATGCAGAGGCCGCTGTCGGCTTCCGCTGAGCTGCTGGTCAGATGTAGCGCTTGACTGCCTGGCCTGAAGCGCTGCAAGTTGAAGCTGAACGTATTTCAAGTGATTTGCGGTGCTTTGCAGCACCTGCAGCTAACTCATTTCCGGGCCACTGTGCTCAGCAAACGCATGATGCGCCAGTCAAAAAAGGGGCAAGATAGAACTTGTGTGCCGCAAAGGCACGCGAGGGTAACAGCCGTGCAGCCTGGAAGCTTGCACAGTTCTGGGGGCTCTGAATGATTCCTTATCAGGAAGTCGCAGTTTCCTGTGGTCGGTGCCTCATCTTTCGCGCTGGGCAGAGCAGTGCACTCGTCGAGATTTTGCAGGCCATCAGTGAAATCCAGCTTCACATGAATGGGGCAAGGTGTTGAGCAGTAGTCACTTCTTCCTCACCGACCACCATCACCATGCAGCTGCGCTACAGCTTTCAGGAGACAAGGCCAGCATCAATGGTCCGGGAAAGGCATGAGAAGACGTAAGACAGCCTGCAGCAAGTTCAGTGTCATCAGTGATGTCAGTAGCTCGGGGATACTTTCACCTGACCTTGGCAGCGTGGTCGTGTGGAGTGGTAACCGGGTTTGCCTTGGCACCTAAACCAGCTGCAACTAGCTGCTAGCCGCAGGACATACTTGATCTTGATGTGGAAATTTTGGTTCCTAGCCAGCAAAACAGATAACTTGCGGATGGTTGATCGAAGGTCTCAGCTCAGATCCACAGATAGAAGCCCCGCTCAGGTAATTTGTGATCTTCGAAGCTTAGGCCGCGATACGTATACGCTTTGCGACAGGTCAGGAATTGTGCAAGCAGTCTTCCTTTCCTGACCAGGCCAGGCGGACTTCTGGTCGGAGATGATCAACCGCAAATATGTCTTTCTTGAGTCGCGCGAGACTTGGATGAAGACGGCAAGCCAACTAGGGACGACTTAGCGAATATGCCTCCTGTGTAGCATTTGGATAGGCATGGCCATGGACTTGCAGGCAACATTCTGTATTTTGTTGTGTTTTATTTACTTGTGTTGAGACAGTAGCCGTTAGCGAAGCCCAAGTCTGGAACTTCATAGATGCAATCTGTGTAGCTAACATGCCATTATTCGCCAATGAGACGTCTGGTGCCCAAGGTGTCCTTGGTACGCTCTGGCTTCCTGACATTGCCCCACCCTGTCTTACACGGGAGAGGGTTTAAAAAGACAAATCAGGTTCAACAAAAACACCTGAGAATAAGCCTGCAAAGAGGGATCAACAAAAAACAGAACTACTTGTAGCTTCTACTATAGAAAACGCACCGGCTCGCACGTCCTGGAACGCCAGAAACAGTGGAACTTCAACCAAGACGGGAAGAAAGAAAGCAAGGGAGAATAATGAAAGGAAGAAAGAAAGAAGCCGCGGCGCCAGTCAGAGCGCAGGCGTGGCCAGGTCATGCAGATTCCAAGTGCGTCTAGTCATCCACCCCATCACATTCGTACAGACCTGAGCCAAACGAGCTGGGAAAGTGGTGGGTGTCCTCACAGCTGTACTCAGCAGCGCTGATGTCCATAGGCGGGATTGCAAGGGATGATGCTGTGGATTCTTAGTGGATCTGGGCCCTAGTTTTAACCGGGACCTGGGGCAGTGTCGCGCGACCCTGATCCGCCCTGCTTGGGGCATTGCCCCTGCCTCTCCCTAGGTATAGCAGTGAGAAGAAGAAGAAGCCGTGCAAGCCTGTAGGAATTGTTGCAAGACCGCTATTACTGTCATTTGAGCTGTGTCATTATTACCGTGTTTTATTGTACTGTTAGTGCCTTTTTTAATTTTCGTATTATTGTTCCAATGATTGTTTTAAAGATTACTGTATTATCATGTACTATCATTATTTCCAATTCACCAAAGTTCCCCGGAGGAGCTTCATTTATTACCTCACGAAGTGAGCTTGGGATCCTGGGGGTGGGGGCAATTTTGTCTGGCCTTTTGAGGTGCTCTGCGCCACAGGCTGGATTTTCCGGCGTTGGGAGTGCCTTTTTGGGCTAGATTCTGCTTTCTTGGGGTGATCTGCATGATCCTAGGGGGATCTTGCCGGGATTTTGGGGGGCTCTTGGGGGGATCTGGGTCTTGGGGGCATCTTGCGGGGATTTGGGGGCATCTTGGGGGTCTTGGAGGGATCTTGGAGTGTGTTTTCTTTCAGGAAGCTTTCGGTGGGAGGGTTGCAGTTCTTCTAATGGGCAGTGAGGGCCGGGCTGCCTGCTCTTCCGGTCGTACTGTATATGGTCTGTCTCTTCACGTCCTGTCTCACCACTCCTGTCCATTGAGCTTTCGTCCCATCCCGTGGCTCTCAAGTATGTGTGGAATAAAACAAGATTATTCCTGCCATTAGTACCTTTCCTCAAAATGCTTACCATGCAGTTATTATGATTCTTTTCTTACTATTATTGCCATTGCTCGCTGGTATGGTTGTTCTCATTTTTACCAAGGTTATGTTTCTTATTGTTCTTTCTACTCCTACTCTTACTGTTGTTACTATTGTTGTCATTAGTAGCAATATTTGTATTGTTATTACTATTATTACTACACTCATAATCATTACTATTACTACTACTACTACTACTACTACTACTAGCCGCCCCCCCCCCTAGGGCCTACACTTTACTTAAAATGGAATATGAATTTCCCGAGGAGGCGGCCAGTAACAGTAGTAATGTTAATGT